TTTTTATATTTAAAATGAGATGTTTATCCTGTATTTGATTGTGTTTATCTGCAGTTAGTTACACGAATTCAGATATGGGATGAAATCAGATAGAGATGAAATCGTTTAGAGATGAACGGGTTTAAAAGTTTTAAGAGTTTTTAAGATTTTTATCCAAATGCTTTATAAGATAGTATTTGTAAGATATATTTATACTATCTTATAAATCAAATTTATCAAAAATATTAAAAACATTTTTTAATGCACAAATTACTAAACATTTATGTGCAAAGTCTTAAAAAACAACTACTTTATGCATTCAGTATTAGATTTTCTTAATCTACAATTAAAATAACATATAGTACAAGTTACCAATGCACATTATTATCTTTTCTTTTAATGGTCCCAATATACTTTTGACATCTTTCACTCATGTCTTCACTCTCTCATACATCAATGTCTTCTCCCCATACCTCTATGTTTTCTCTCATTCATCTTCCATTCAATTGTTTTAGAACTCTCAATCTCGTTCTCGATCTCTTGATTATTTGCTCTTGGTGGAAATCGAATACATTTGTAAAGTCGTTTAAATATGTTGGATTTTAAACTGTTATGCAATTTTTTTTTTCATCGATAGACTGTAATTGGAAGCATAACTCTTATTTATTCAAATTGTTTTAATATGTAAAGACAAAGTGTAACTTATATCATTTTTAAATCTTCTCTAATAAAATAAGTGAAACTTCAAAATCGTTAAAATTCACGGTTTCCACCGCATTACGTAAGTACACAACTTGTATGTATATAAAATTATATATGTGGGACCATCACATTAATTTATATATTTATTTTAATAATAATAGCATGTTTAATTAATGTTGTAGTGGGAACCACTTTTGAAAATGTAAGAGAATTACAAAAATTAATGTGGCATAATTGAAAGCATAAATGAATTGCAGGTATCTGGATGCTCTGATGAAATACTTGAGTAACACGTGAATCTTTTATTTTAACAAAATGGTTTTTTGGTTTTTACAAAATCTTTTTCCTTTCAATAAATAATTTATATTAAAAAAATAATAGAAATTACAGAAATAGGATCGGCAGAAGCAACAAAATACGACGATCAAAAGTAGACCTAATTCACAGTCGAATAAAACAAAAGAGAAGAAAAACACACGAAAAAAACAACAACCGACAACTGAACAAACAAACCAACAACTATTCCGAGAGGAACGAGACACTCAGCTAGAATTTTGAAGCGGAGCTGTAAACCATAATCCCAAGGGATAAAATCATTTTATAAAGAATTTAATGAACCGAATCAATCGTTGGTCGAAAAATATGTTGTTCATAAATTGAGCATAGCCTTTGAACATGGTCGTGTCTTGATCAGATGAAAAACGTAACTGGTATAGAAGTAAATTGCGAAAATTGTTCATATGGTTTAAGGAAATATGGGTTTGGCATCAAGTTTGAAATTATACTAGACACTTTATAGTTTGCGTTATGTTTAGAATTTCACCACCGAACCTAAGGAACGGTAAGTCCATCCCTTATGTGTTGATCATGTTCTCAGTCACGTGAGGGCATTTTAGTCATTTTTATTATTTTTATAGTTATTTATTATACACATTAAAAGCATATGTAAAAGTAATTACCTTGTATGAGTCGATGAATTGAATTCTATCAAAATGGCAAATGTAACAAATTTTATAATATAGTTTTAAAAAGACAAAATAACCTTTAAATCTGGTTTTTTACCAACACCACCACCCCGTCCTCACCATTGCACCCGCCCCCACCACCACCACCACCAACAACAATCAATCATCACATTTGCCATCACAAACCGCCACCTATCATCAGTCCATCACACATAAAGCAGATTCACTGCCACCACCATGACACAATTGTAACCGTTATAGCTGCCACTCGCCCACACCCACAAAACATCGTTGGTGCCAATTTAACCAACACCACTACTATGTCCTCACTGCCCCATCCGCTCCCACCAACCAACCGCCACTGTTGCCACCACCACCAACCAATCATCACCTTGTCATCACAAAACGCCCCCACCCACAAACCAATTTGTCTGCCAACATAACGACACAATTGTCACCATCACAACCTCCACCCATCCCATCAAAAAACATGGGTGCCCCACTACGTATTAATATGTTTGTTCATTAGATGGAACTAATTGCTTCATACACATGTGGGCATTTGGTCTAGTGGTATGATTCTCGCTTTGGGTGCGAGAGGTCCCGAGTTCGATTCTCGGAATGCCCCCGTTTTTTACCCTTAAATTCTTTCTTCATCTACCTTCGTATTTTCCCTCCAAAATTCACGACCAAATTCCCCATTTCTCGCTTCAATTTCCCCAAAATCCACACTCAAATTGATCCTGCAATCTCTCAAATCGCAATTTTCACCATCATTTTTCTGCCATTATGATGTAATCTTACGTAATAGAGATCGTATTCCATGATTAGATTAAGTTTTCATTTGTTTTTACCGTTCAGTGATCAATATCTTCTTGAATAAGCTTCTCGATGATTCTTCCATCTTCCGGAGAAACAATGCCGGTTTTGTTGCTTCCAATCGGTTTTTGTTGTAGGCGTTTGATGTTGAGTTGAAAAACTAGTTAGGGTTTTGGTTTTGTACAAAGGGTTTTAATTTATGGACGGGTTTAACGATCATGAAGCTGGTAAACTGCTTTTCCTTTTACTTGTTTTCCGATTCAATATGCATATCCACACACATGAACTCTGTGTGCTACTTGTGTTCTTATTTTCTGCTTGTGCATGCTCTGTTCCTCTTCATCTCGAGAGAGATGTTTTAGATAAGTAGTTGAATGTTTATATGAAGTACTGCCATTAGAATAATGTCGATGATGAATTTGGAACAGAGATAATACCAAATGATTTTTCTTGATTAAGTTCATGGGTGGATTTATTGAACTTCAAAGCTCAAATCAATGTGAAATTTTCAGTTTCATAGTGATAAAAGAGGGAAATGCTATGGATGCTTGCATTTGATGGATATGAATGAACCTGATAAGTATGCTTAATCATGGATGACTTTTATAAATATTTAAAGGTTCATAACATAATGTGATTTTATAGGTCTTATGTCTTATGCCATTTATTCTGGATTAACAGGCAATAATCCTGATGTAAGTATTGAGGATGGTCATCTTATTGCTGGGGATTTCGATTACACCGAAGAAGTGGAAATCCCTATCATTCAAAGCCAATTTGTGAATTTGGATGGAGATACTGAGGAGTTGGATATTCCGCATTTTGTTGGCAACCTAAGAGCCCTAATGGTTGATGACAGTGATGATGAAGTTGTGTTGGATAGTGAAGATGAAGTAGTCACTGAACCAAAAGAGGGAAAAATCAGAGGTAAGCCGAGAAAGGAGCATAGGTTGCAGAACATATCTTGCTGCTTTGATGTGTTTGTATGTGTGTATACAATCTATTGCGTCTTCAGAATGCTATATCTGCGGAAATCAATTTGCTATCGTTTTGTGTAGGCTATGACTAAAGATTGGCGCAAATATTTTCTCTATTAGTAGTATAGATTTTTTTCTTGGCATGTTTGTAAACCTCTTTTCCATGGCGGTCATGAAGAAGCACTGGAAAAGGGTCAAAACATGATTGCGTTATCATTTTGCATCTTGGTTTGGACTTTTCCCTATAAGATTTAGGGGCTGTTTGGTTGGTTTTCCATTAAGTCATGTATGGATAAAGTTGTCTGTGTGGATTACTTTGTCTGTATAGATTGGGAAGGTTTTTGTTTGGGAGGGTTTTTTCATAGATGGAAAGAGCGTGTTTTTTAATCAGAAGTGGCAGGATCGGAAAAAACTTGGCTTTCTGTATAAAGCTCCCCTTAGAAGCTTACTGAATAAGCTTCTGTATCATTAAGCCACTACCAAACAGTCATGTATAGCTGACCGAATAAGTTGTGAGTCTCTTTAAGCTCATTAAGCTGCTAACAAACATGCCGGTAGTTTTATATGCATGAGACATTATACTCTCGACTTATTTGTAACTCTATTCCTTATCAGGACTATGGCGTCGTGCTAGTGCCGGTGGTACACAATCATCTGAGGTTCGTTCTTCAGCAGGAAGTAATTTGACAGAAAAGGTAAGTGATAATGGTCCCAGTTCCGTACATGCTGAAGCTCGCTGTCGAGAAGTGCTAGTCGGGAGATCAAAAGAGAGGAACTTAATATCAGATAACAATAATGTGGCAATGGTTGATCAGGACAGGTATGGTAGAGAATGCAGAGAGGATAACATTGGGAGCAAGGACATGGAGACAAAATGTTCGAAAGGAGATGAATTTTTCAATCCAAAGGTGCCTTCTTTTGATTTTAAGAATGCAAATAGAGAATTTAGTGGCTCAGCGATGATAAGTGATAACAAGCTTGCACTTGGATGCTATGATGAATCTCAAGAACCAGGGGAGTCATCACAAGCTAATGCATTGGACTTTGTGGATCATTATTTGGCAGTTAGTGTTGTAAACTCGTCTCCAGAAGTTAGGATTCCAAAAATTGATGGGCTAAGGTCACCTCTCGCTTCAGGTGCAAAAGGGTCCCAAAATTTGGCAATGAAAGCCAATCTTATGACCAAAATTGGTACATCAACCTTTGAATGGGATGATGACCAGCCTGATCATGGAGGGGAGTTCTTAAAAAAGAAAAAAGAACTTGACATCCAAAGAGAGGAACATTTGGGTGGAAGATGTAAAGAGGGACTTCAAGAATTGGTTCTGGTTGATTCAAAAAGAACATTTTCAAGTTCAGTGCCGCAGAACTCTAATCCTATCAGTAAGGTCTTACAAACTGATGAAACAGAAAGGGATGCATTTAACAAGTTTGAACAATTTGAGGAAGAATCATCAAAACAGCTGCCTGGAAATGGTAGCAATGGGAGGGATGAATCAGAGATGTTTGATGTTGGTTTTGACACCCAAATGGCAGCTGAAGCTATGGAAGCCTTGCTATATCTCCTACCTCCCTGTGTTAATGCAAACGAACATGAAGGTCTCAAGGTGACACCCAATGATATTCTCAAAGGTGCAACTTCGGAGAAAACATCCAAACAGTTCTGTTTTTCTTCAAGGGCTAATTGTGATTCACAAAATGATGGAATAAGTTTCAAGCAAAAGAGGGTTACTAACCAAAGGCATCAAATGTCTACTTCCTTCCAGAAAAACTCCCAAAACCAAAGAGAGTCGTATCTTGAGTTACCGACTCTAGCGATGGAAGCAAGAGGAGAGTCATCAACTGAAAATCGCATGGATGGGAACAATCTTTCTGAACCAAAGAAGAAGGCACATAAAAAATCTTTGAAAGCTGTTATCCGAAAGAAGCAAACACAAGATTCAAACAAGGAAAACATTCAAGGTGGTTACAGAAAACATGGTTTAGTAAAACCAGACAAATGTAACCCACTTGGGGGAATACAACAGGAAGTGAATACCTTTTCACCTGTGGCTTGTCGAACTAGGCTTGGGTCATTAGTAAAACGCTCAAAGAGGAGCGAGGATACGACATGTAATCTGGGATATATTAGAGATGGTAAGCAAGTCGATGTCCCTCATAAAAGAAAATTGCGTGATCTAGATACAAATTTGAGGAAGAGAACTAAATGTCCTACTTCAGATTCTTGTGAGTTAAAAGAGGCTACAAAGAAGGAATTGTTCCAAAAATGGCCAGGTCATCTAGATGAAACCACAACTTCTGGTCGTTTGAAGTTCGATTCATGGAAGTGGCCTAAAAAGAAAAGGACATTGCGAAATATGAGACAAAATGCAAAATTGTCAAAAACCTTTTATGTCCTATCTTCAGTAGTTGGAAGTGCCAATGGGAACTCAGTTATGGGTCCCAGTGAGACTGAAGGGAGCTTCAGAGAAGCTTTTTCGATGTCGAGTGTAAAGAGGAAAGCTCGTTCCAGTTCCAAATACAGGTCAGCGTCTAGAAAKAATCTTTTGGAAGAAAYGCCAATTCAGAAATCTGGCCAACCAAGTTTAGCAGATGTTACTAACACCAAACCTGATWTRATGAGYAYAAAGATGATTCYARAAGCTTTTGATCTATCTGGAGCCTCATCTCAGTCTACAAAGCTAATTGATGAGGGTTGGATACCATCTTTAAGTGGTGCAGAGAAGATGAAAAATTTATTATCCAAAAGGAGGAGCCGCAAATCTACAATGGTGAGTAGTGTGGGAAACAGGAAGCTACTGCGCAAGAAAAACTCTGCAAGTTCCTCCCTCCAAAATGAGACTGCTAGATTGGGATTTGCAGAATCTCTTCCTGATTTTAGTTCAAAAGACTTGAGAAGACGTAGAAGTAAAGTAGAAATTCGTGTCTTGTTCAGCCAAAGCCTTGATGATGATGTGGTTAAGCAGCTGAGAAAGGTTCTGTAATCTGTTTCCAATCATCATAACTTTTCTTGATTCAAGTCTTTGTACTAGATTATAGACCATGAAGAATTCCTATTTCTCCTGTGCAGATCATGAAAAAATTGGGGATTTCTTTGGCAACAGATTGCTCAGATGCAACACATTTTGTGTCTGATAGATTTGCAAGGACAAAGAAGATGTTGGAAGCAATGGCTTTTGGTAAACCAGTTGTGACACCCTTGTGGCTCGAGAGCTGCGAGCAAGCAAAGTGTATCATCGATGAGAAAAATTACATCCTTAGGGATGCTAAAAAGGAAAAGGAAATTGGGTTTAGCATGCCTATTTCATTGAATCATGCAAGAGCATGTCCACTTATGAAGGTACTATTCGAGATTGTGAGATACACCCTCCGCCCCAAAATACATGTCTACAATGAAAAAGACACACAGTTTTAGGAATGTGTAAATAGAGTCCCCTTCTTTTGCAAACCACCTACTTATTACAAACCAATCAATTGAGATATTTATGGAAATGATGTGGGTCCATTTATAATGATTGGATATTTAAGGAGGATGATCAGAGTTCATTCATTATCATCGACTTATTAGATTAAGGGGCTGTTTTTGTTGGTTTTCCATTAATTTCTATATGAATAAAGTTGTTTGTGTGGATTAATCTGTCTGGATGAATCTGTATGTCTGGATGAATCTATATGTATAGAATGGGAAGGTTTTTATTTGGGAGGGGTTTTTTCATAGATGGAAGGAGTGGAGTGTGTTGTTTAATTGGGAGGGGCAAATGTGGAAAAAACTGGCTTTCTGTGTAAAGCTTCTCCTTAGAAGCTTATTGACTAAGCCACTTTCTATATCATTAAGTCACTAACAAACACTCATGTATAACTGACTGAATAAGCTGTGGGTTTCATTAAGCTTATTAAGCTGCTAACAAACAGGCCATAAGAAACAATCGAAATATTTATGGAACTAGATATTTATTAGACTAGATGGACGGTCGAGATTGGTTTGTATGGTTTGTACTAATTAGGTGGTTTGCAAAAGAAGGAACCTATGTAAATACTATGCTTTTTTATTAACTAAAATGATGATTTTACCCTTAAGAACAGAGGAAGTAATGAATTTCTTCATCTCATAATTAAGGGTATAATCTGAAACTAGGTACTTACTTCTGAAAGAATCACTTATTCTGGGACAGAGGGAGTATGTTAAAAGTGACTCTCTTTTACTTCCCTTGAAATAGTAAAAGTCGCTACAAATATGCTCGTTATATGCCCTTATGATCTGTTCTGTGATGTACCAGGATCTGAGAGTCTTTGTTACCCCAAATGTAGAACCTGACAGAGAAATGATTAAAAACTTGGTTAAGGCAGTTCATGGCCAGGTGCTATCCCACTCTTATTTTATAGAATGTAGATTACATTTCATTATTGATCCGTCTCAAAATAAATGTCCACGATGAAAAAGGAAGTATCATATTTTTGGACAGAGGGAGTATCATATTTGATGTGAGTACATTTATGCTCATGTAATAGTGAAATGCTCCGTAGGTCATGGAAAACGCCCAACAAGCTAGCATGGAGTGCAAGAGCTCAGATGATCTGATAATACTCTCTTGTGAAGAAGATTATGAATTATGTGTTCCATTTTTAGACAAAGGTATAGACCCACATATTTCATTATGCCAGCCATTATCATTTAAAATTTACATGAAAAATACATGGTACGTTTGGTTTAGAGGTCAGGTTTGTATGCATCTCACCAGGGGGGACCCACATGCAATGATACGGTGGCACTGGTCACCACCTCATGGTTCTGTCGTAAGGGGAAAAAATTACATTTTTGAAGAGTGCCACCATATTGTTTTGTTGTGTGTCACCATAGTCTTTGAAACTGAAATGTTAGCACAAGACTTTAATAGCTGAGATGGTAAATGTTTTTGCCTTTGTATAATAGTCCAGGTTCTGGTATCTTAGTTGTCAAATTTGTTGTTTTTAGCTTAATTTTGGTGTTTTTTATATACCTCTTGTGTTTTTTAAAATATATGTAGACCGGACTAGAACATAGGTCTCTTCCATGTAAAAGGACAAGGAACCAACCTTGTGAAAAAAAATAGATATTTTTTATAGTCAAATTGTGCCATCACTTTGAAATTTTTTATGGGTCCGCCTCTGATCTCACCCTTCTCAGGCCCTACTTTCGAGTTGGATTTACTGGGTACGTTTGGTTTAGAGGTCAAGTCTGCATACATCTAACCCTCATCAAACCTTACTTTCGGGTGAGATTTTCTGGAGACGTTTTGTTATAAATAGCATATGTTACATACACGTATTTGCAGGTTCAGCAGTTTATGGTTCAGAGCTCTTACTAAACGGGATCGTTATTCAAAAACTAGAATATGCGAGGTAAGTTGAAAAAAATTAGCCAATCTGAGTTGGTTAGCTCTTTTTTTACTACAGTTTGTGTACCTTACGGACCAACCATCCACCCTTACCTTTTGAGGTGGAGGTCAGGTCTGCAAACATTTCATACCCCTAGAACCCACTTTCGGGTGGGATATATTGGGCTTGATTGGTATGTTATTGGTTTGTGTTTGGCTCGTACGTCCTCACACAAGGTTAGAATTCTAGCTCTTCCAGAGTGTCTTAGGATTAGTCAGTTCTATTTCTCGATGGGGGCAAGGAAGGGAAATTCTACTCTGCACAATATGGAGGTACTGATGGCACAACTAGTTGCAAAAATAGGTAAATACAACCAACTACGGGGATATTTTGCCGAGTTCCTTAGAGAGCTCGACGGGTGGGTGTTGCAGTCAAGCTCCCATCTGTGTGTACCTTGCAGATCACACAAATTGAACGAAGCAGTGGTCTGTGCCACCGTATTCACCATTGTGGGTCCGCCCCCGTGGCCAAATGCCCGAATACTACTAGTCCAAAGGTCCTTCGATGAATAGATGAAATGTTATAAACAAATAAAATCTTAAATTCTTATTCATTGATGAATAGAGTGTTAATGTATTGAAATATCATGTTGAACCTTTTGGTTTATTCTTTGACATTTCAGGCATCAACTGTTTGATGAGCATGTTAAAATGAAGAGGTATGCCAGAAGGAAAATTGGAAGGCAGCATCTCCATGATGGTTAGCTTGAACATCAACATCCCAATCTCTTATACATATATGCACATATTTTTGTGAATGACCAACATGGATTTGATCATCTTTTGCTACAAATCCCAACTGTCATTTTTGACTCTTGGCAAACCTTCAACATTCTCATTCTTTTTTTTTTTTTTTAATATTAAGGGTGCGTTTGGTATCTAGAAGGGTAGGACATGACAGAACAAGACATAATGGTTGTTCAGTGTTTTATAAGACAAAATTGGACAGGATAAAACAGATAAAATGGTCAATTTACCTCTAATGAATTGTTTATATCTTTTATATTTTTTGATTAATTTATTAAATAATAATAAAATAAATTTTTTTATAACAAAATATATCCTTGGAAAAAAATTCTCAAGCCGATTAAAGTGACATCAAAATAAAAAGTTTATGTAGTTTCCAATTTTTATTTTATGCATTTTTTGTTTATTTAATTAAATTATAGAAACCGTATAAAAATAATATTTTGAGGACAATAAAATGAAAGTGTAAGGAGTATAAAATACAATAAATAAAAATTTAAAAATAAATAAAATGTAAAGAGAAAGACTTATTTGATGTTTTAAAAGAGAATTTAAGTTTTATTTTAAAGTTATATTGGTAAAAGATAAGTTTGTTCCATAGGGTGGGGGTAAAACACATTTGTTCCATTTTGTTTTACATAAAATTTTTGTCAAACATGGAATAATGATCTTTGTTCTCTTCTACCATGTCCTGTCCATTGTACCAAATGTATTCTTAAGGATCCCGTTTGCTTTGTGGAATTGGGAGTTGGATTTCATTTCATCCTCATAATTGTTTTAAAGGAAAGTTTGGATTTAGAAATCCCATTGGGTAATTGGTATTTCATAAGATTTTTTTTGTAGTAATGTTATAAAATATATTAAAACATTCGTTTTTTAATAATCAATTAATAAATGATAATTTAATTATATTTAGAATTTGCTTTTGAAAATTATCTACGAAGAATGAAATTCAATATCATTTCAAACCCTACAAACCAAACAGATTCTAAATTATTCAAATTCCAATTCCGGCTTGAATATAAAATCTTGCAAATACATTACACCATTTTTTTAAATATATAATATTTATATACGACAAATAGAACAAATAAACTTACACCCCTTCCTTATGTTTGGTGAGGTTTGAACCCCTAATCTACTAGGAGATCAAAGACTCATATACCGTTAGGTCAAATACCCTTTGGCGTTACATATTTTTTGTTTTAACATAAATAGTTAAATTTGAGTCAAGAATACAAGGGACAAATAACATGACCTAAAAACAACAATCGTTAAAGTGGTTATCACACTACTTTCAATACCTCCCCTTCTTTTCCTTTGTAAAAGAGTAGTCGAGAACACAGCGGTAGCGTATGAAAAAAAGGTCGAAAATGTAGAATAACAATATTTCCCGAAAAACGGTTTTCATATCGGCTTCTTACAAAGAACAGTTGAATATTACGAGTACAAAGCCGCTACAACGATACCTTTACGAGTACAAAGCCGCTACAGGACTTAATGGTCGGCATCTTGAGATTGGGCATTAGCATTTGTAGTCTCAAAACCTCCTGATACTGCTGGTGGTGGTGGTGGTGTTGGGCTAGCTTGATACATAGATGGTGCGAACATTGGCGGTGCACCTGATGTCGGTGTTCCTGAGCTCCCTGGAACCATCATTGGTGCACTCATAGTCATCGGTCTTGGCACACCGTTGTTAACCTGACCGGGCATTGATGGGTTAATTTGACCGGGCATAGAAGTTGCACCAGGCGGTGTAACCATTTGAGGCATCCCTGGATATCCTGATAGATCAACAAAACGAACATTTTCATTGTCATTTTGTTATAAAGAATCGGCATGTTATTCAGTATCTGTTTGGCAAACTAACTGAAAAGATAGCTGATAAACTAATCATGTTTGGTAATAAATAAATGAAAACTAGTCGATAAGCTATACAAGAAATGTAAAATGACCTAACAGTACATGTTGAAAAATGACTTAATTCTTACATTACATGATATAATTAAAACTAATCACTATGCATTTCATTATACTTAAAAAGTTAGTTCTCCAAAATAAAAAAATATTAAAAACCATTTATCGAATTTTATTATTTATTAAACTAAAGTTATATAAGTTTAATATTTATATGACTTGCAAAAACATGTTTAGAATTGAACATTATAATATGATAATAATGACAACAATATAGGAATAATTAATAATTACTAGTAATTGAAAATAGTTAATAGCAATAAATAATTGTTAGAGATCAAATCGGAAGAAAGTGGAAAAAAGTTGTTTGAGCTTATTTGAAACGCTAGTTCAAGCGGCATTTTTAAAATCTAGCTTATGGGTAACCAAATTGAGCTTTTTCAATAAGCTCAAAACAAATAAACTAGCTTGCCTTAGCCCTTAGGTGTCAAAACCAAACTAACCCACTAAATCTCACGCAGAGGTAGGGTTTGGCGGATGGGATGTATGCAAATTCTCTCGAGTCTGACTTCAAGAAGACCCTCAACTTGCCAAACAGAAATTATATGAAATAAATGAGCAGACTACAGGTGAGAGCGTGTGCAAACAAACAAGATATATAATAAAGGAAATTGCATTCATTTACCGGGCATAGGTCTTGGCAAAGAGATAGGTGGTCTCATCCCGGGCATTAATGATGGATTCATAGCCATCTGGGGATTTCCGGGCATTGGCATCATTGGAGTAGGTAATACAGGAAGACGAGGCCTCAGCTGGTTATAAGCAGCACCAACTTGCTGATATGCTGCAGCTTGCCCAAGATGCTCCTTCACCTTTTGGTCGATTAGGTATTGATTTTGTTGTGCTTCATATTGTTGATAGTAAATCCGAACGTTTGCCTGTGACGGATTTAGACGTATCAGAATCGTGATTAAAATGTGTGTATTATACTTTTGATTTATACGGCACATTACCTTGTGTTTGTAGCCGGCATTGTGCTGCTTCCTTACAGAAGGCTGGAGAAAGAGAGGATAGAAGGCTGAATTACATGCTAACTCCTTACGGGTAAGACTCGGTTATCAAGCAACATACTAAATAAGGGAAAGGTTCAAATGACAACCTTAAATATTTTGAGAACCATGAGAACCACGATGCATTGACTATCAAATTATGTAATTTGGCAATGAGTATATTATGCATGCATGTTTATAAGCATTGACACACTGAAATTCATAGTGTATATGCATTAATGCATATATGGTCCTCAAAATACATTATGGTTCTCATTTGATCTTTTCCCCTACTAAATAAATCTTTACAGATAATGGATAAAATAGTACTTCCGAAGGTGCAAACATCTCCAAGCAGTAATAGACTGGTTACTTATTCACTGATACTAACATCACTCTAGTCTCACATTAAGGATGACTTTCATCGAGCCTAAATACTCGAATCTTGTGATATAAGCGATTCCAATTTAAACAAGGTGAACAATTGACATAAAAGTGAAGTGCATGTCACATAGATTGACTCGCAAACAATTCTCTCATGGTCTTGATCCTTTTTTGAGCTCTCAGGGTGCATTTGATTCAGTAACGGGAATGAGAACGGCGATAGGAATGACAATGTTGGGAAATGCGAATGGATTTTCCCATTGCATTGGCTCTGTTACACTTGCAGATTCACGGAAAACCAAACCATAGTAAACCAATTGGTTTAAAGTGAAACAGATCAAATGGATTGAATGGGTCAAAGATATCCAAAGCTTATTTAAATGCTTACAACCCATTTTGACCTGATACCTAACCCATTTAAATGTCCAAAGCGTATTTAAATGCTTAGAATACCAGCAAGCAGTGGTGGAGCCGAGAAATTTACAATGACGTGCGAAATTTACAAGTTGATTACATTTTGGGGGGAGGGACAAAAATTATCTAATTTATGGTTTTACACTATAATTTGCTTGTGCCGCTGTAAAATGCAAAAATTAGACGATTCCCAACCCTCCTGGAAGGGAAAAAAACAACCACCGCCATGGCACATACATGATAGCAACAACATAGCCATTGTGTATTTGTGTGCCACAAGATGCTTAAATCCCCTAATTAACTCATCAAATTGGCAATTCTTCATAATGCAGACAATATATCTTCACAACAAAACCAGATAATAACAAAACAAAACATTGAGTGAATAATAGAAGACTTACAGAATCATGTGTCAAGTAGGTGTCACAATAATCACAATAATACCTGCAAATTCAATCAAAATAAGCGTATTTCTTTTAGAACACTCATAATCTCCACTATAAACCAATTAACAATCAACAGTGAAGAAAAGACATCTGCTTTCAAAATCTCACCGAGGCATGGTTTCTTCTTGTCGTTGGGTATGATCTGTGAAATATCACTACAAAATACATAAATTAGTCAACAATCTTCACTGCATCAGCTATATTGTCAAGCACCATTCATCATCGTATGCAGAAACTAACATTTTTTGGAAAACGAGCATGAATAATTTCGTTTTTATCCAAAAAAACAGTACAATGATTCCTCACGGAAACTAACGATTAGGATTCAGAGTAAGATTCGAAACAGAACAAATTAGAAATCGAAGAATTCAAAATGTAATACGTGAACTTACACGAACGATAACTAAGCTGCAGATCAGAGACTGTTCGCAGAAAAAAGAAACCCTAGCGTGCGCAGGAGAGACGATGAAGGCGAAGAAGGTCTCTGGTTGTATTTTTCACCTGCGATAAATGACGCGAGAACCATGTATTATACCTTGAAGTTGCTGAATTTAGCCCTTTGGGTTTCAACATTGTTCATTTCACACCCACATAGTTTATTTTATTTGCATATTTGCTATCGACTTTCAACTGAATCAAAATTGCATCAATTCAAGACGGATCCGTAGCTTTGAGAATGCTCTCGAGATTCTTTTTAGGGTCATTTACCAAACGTTAACCAGGTAAGTATTTACCAGACCATTTACCTTACGGAGTGAGTATAGCAAAAACCAAGAATATTATCCGGTAAAACACATGGTAAAGACCGAAAATCCTACCCAGCAAGAGGCATGATAGGGACCAAGAATCATACCCAGTAAGAGGCATGATAAGGATAAAAAAACATTGCATGGTTTACTTTTTGCACGACTTCACAGGTATAATGGTTAATTTGTAAATAAGGAAGCAGACGGAATGATAAAAAAACTAAAACTTATTTTCAAATCAAGGGCTCGTTCATCAAACAGGTAAGCTCTTATCCGGTATCACTTATCATATCAGGTGAAGATGACGGGGGTCGAGAATTTTACCCTGTAAGCCATAAGCGATATATCAAAGATCGAGAAGTTTATCTAATAAACAAGGAAGAAGACTCTTCCCTGATAAACATTTACAGGGTAAATGACCCTTACCGACAATCCACTTTGATAACCCGGAATGTCACCCGATTAGGTAAATGAAAGTGGTGAATCTTACTGGTAAGCTCTTACTCAGTAAACGATTGGTAAAAAGTTCCTAAGAAACAAATTAGGAGGATACATGATGTATATTTTTTGAATGATAAGGGGCATAGTGAAATTATTAAGAAGTTAAAGGATCATTTTTGTAATAATTCCAAAAAGTTGCAGTCAATAGTATAGAATCGGGCGGGGGGACACCGGGGCCAACATCCGAACAAATGCCTGAAGGAATCAAAAATGGTTTGTCTTTCAAGAAATCATCCAACAATACAGGTTCTATCTCCTAATTCCTTTAATTTTCGAGGACAATTAGATCGTCTAATTATGCTTTAATTCAAGAACAAATCTTGCTAAACATCGTCATTTTTGCTGAATTTTGTGATTATTTTGATTGTTTTTGACCTCTAGTTTTTCGAGCATAAGGATTGGATCGAGTTTTCATGTTGTGTTTGACGAATTTGAGCTTTTTTTAGCATTAGATTAGGACATTTGTATTTGAAATTGGTGTATACAAGGTATGTCAATGAGATTTTTTGGGGATTTGATTGGTGAATTTGAAAATTTAGGTGAAATGGGAGTGAAGGACATCCAGAATTGGTGGACTTCGCCATCTAAAGTTGCATCTCACTTTGGAACAAGTGGTGCTGCTGTTGCTGCAGCCACTGGCATCACACATCCATTAGGTTTTTTCTTTCATTTTTTCAAAAATTTCATGTTATGCTGTCTGTAAATATATCTCTATATACAGAATTTGATTGCTATATATGTTGTCTGGATGCAATATTGAGTTTTGATATATAAATACCATGATTTTGTTTGCGAGCATGAATTCCATGATTTGGAGTTGCTGTTGAAAGCTTGAAGCTCATTCATGTTAAATTTGGATGTGATTTTGTTTGAGCTATAATTACGTATCATGGACCATGTGCTTCTAAATATCTAAGCTATCGTACGCCTATTAGAGGTCAGACGAAGGATCGTGTGAGAATAGGAATTAAGGTGAGAAGCGTAAGAAGGGTGATCACTTTTAATCTCACCCCATCCCATGAATTGCGCTTCTCATGGGAATTGATCTAGTGCATTCATTAGTGTTGATATCCAATTAGGATTTATCCAAGGGTGGATATCCCTTCTTACCCTTCTCACCATAACTTCCATTCTCACCGGAACCCAACCCTTAGTCCCTTAGAGGTCATATCCTTGGAAATATCTAAGGTTATAGCTATCGTAGTTAGCATAAGGGAGTTGGACAGGTTGGGACGGGGGTAGAGGGCTGGCAGTTGAACTGGGGATGTGTTTTTGCCTTCATCTATGTGGGTATTGCCTTGCATTAACTTTTTTATGTGTTCAATGCACCTATTAGTTACTTTTTCTTACTTATTATTCTCGTGTTCCATTCACCATGGTTTTGGTTTGGTTTACTTGCTAGTTAGGTTAGGCGACCTAAGATGGTGATCGAAACCATTGAGCATGACTGCTAGGGAAGAGAAAAAATAATAATAGACACAAACATTTGGAGGCAACAACATTGTATCTTATCAAGCAAGGAAATTTGTTTTGATATGCAGATGTACTCAAAGTTAGACTGCAAATGCAATTTGTTGGAGAAAGAGGTCCGCTGAGTGGAATGGTATGAAGAACTCTGTTATTCGTCATAAATATCTGCTTCAACAAGAAGAATTGACTGATAGGTTTCATGCTTTGGTGTTTACAGGGACAAACTTTTGTTCGGGTTGTTAGAAAAGAAGGACCTCGCTCCTTGTATCTGGGATTGACACCAGCATTGACGAGGTCAGTTCTTTATGGAGGTCTACGTTTAGGTTTGTATGAACCTTCTAAACATTTCTGTGAACTGGCCTTTGAGTCCACTAACATCTTCATGAAGATTGCATCTGGAGCTGCTTCTGGTGCTTTTGCCACTTTGCTGACCAACCCTGTGGAAGTTCTAAAGGTAAAAACATGTACCAAACTTCTGAACATTATAGGCATAATCATTACTTTTTGGTAACCATGGGTATCCAGGCTAAATTGCGCACCTCAACTAATCCCATGGAGCACGGGAGATAACAGCCGGGAAAATCCGCGGTGGCCTTGAGGAGACTCGAACTAGTAACTTACGGGGAGGAACCCCAAGGCCAAACATTTATTTGCCGGTTCAGCTGGCCCTCAAGGTTTTATAGGCATTTTTCTGCACATTCTACTTAGGGCCGTTTGGTTGGTTGAAGTCATGTATGGATAAAGTTGTCCATGTGGATTAATCTGTCTGTATAGATTGGGAAGATTTTTGTTTTGGAGGGTTGTTTCATAGAGGAAAGGAGCATATTTTTTAATTGGGAGGGACAGATTGGAAAAAATTTGGCTTTCTGCATACATCTCCTTCCTAGAAGCAACTGAATAAGCCACTTTACATATCATTATGTCACTACCAAACAGTCATGTATAGCCGACCGAATAAGATGCGAGTCCCATAAGCTCATTAAGCTGCTAACAAACAGGCACTTAGAGAAGTGTCGGTATTACATAAATTACGTATTTATTGAACTTGTACAGCACAAACACTCCATTGCATTATATGAAGGAACATTGGTTGTTAAATAGGTGCGTCTGCAAATGAACCATAACGTGCATGGTGGAGCAATTGGTGAACTGCGGAAAATTGCCGCAAAAGAGGGCATAGCAGCCCTCTGGAAGGGGGTTGGACCTGCTATGGCCAGGGCAGGGGCTTTAACGGCATCACAGCTGGCTACATACGATGAGTTTAAGCAGGTTAAGTTCTAAAACTGTTGTTTTCACTTTTATTATCCACAAAGTATCTTTGGCAACCAAAGTGCCATTGACCCAACGGTAACCAGTGACCCAACCTTACCGGAGATCAAGGGTTCAAGCCTTGCCAAATGTGAGAGGTGCGTAGGAGTTTTGTCATTTATAAATATTATATACTTCAAAAGTATCTTCTGTAACCAAATGGTCATTGGCCTAGTTGTACCTCTCTGGAGGTCAAGGGTTCAAGCCTTTTTCCGTATATAAATATTATATACTTCAAAAGAAAGTATCTTCTGTAGTTTTTAAGGAGTTCTAGTTATGCAAAGGCTGTACCTTCAAAAAAAGTATCTTCTGTAGTTTTTAAGGAGTTCTAGCTATGCAAAAGCATATGCATCCAATGGATGTATTTCACTGGAACCTTTTATAAACAATTCCTGTCTCATTTTCGTTTGTGTGTCTATGAATGTAGGTTTTAAGAAAATGGACATCTCTTGAAGAAGGATTCTATCTTCATCTCAGGTATGTATCCCTACCTACGATCTTTTAAGTAACACATGGAATACTTCAATTGTGTTTCAAAATGTCACATTGTGAATATATATACATACATACATATATAGAAAGAGAGGGAGGTTCAAACGAGAACAATAACTAAATAAAAGAACACGAGAACAGTCAAATTACATGTGATTTTACACGTGATTTTAGTGTAAAATCACATGTGATTCGGTCGTTTTCTTGTTCTCATATTTGGTTATTGTTCTCCCTTGGACCTCCCCCCCCCTCTCTCTCTCTCTCTCTATATATATATATATATATATATATATATTATTTTCCAGTTGTTCCATTGATATGGAGTGGTTTTCTTGGTGTAAATTAGTTAAATTCCATAAGATTACATTAAGCATTATAAGCACAAATCATAAACTAGGTAGTATGAGACACCGTCTTAATCATCTGATTCTAACCGTGACTTGCATTATTTGAAGCTCAAGTACCGTAGCAGGCTCAGTGAGCACGCTCATAACTGCACCTATGGATATGGTTAAAACCCGACTCATGTTGCAACAAGAATCTGTGAGAGATGGAGCTTATAAAAATGGGTTCCATTGTGCATATAAGGTAACTTGTTAGTTTCGCTCTTATTTTTATTTTTTCGCTCAATGAACTCTTAATCACCATTGTTGTTTGGTACGTGAGGCCCGCAGGATGGGACTAGACAAAACAAAAACTTGTCTCATATTTGGTGTGACATTTAGACTAGGACATGGAACAAAAATAGGGAGATAGAACAAGATTGGTAAATACTAAACTACCTTTGTCAAATTAAAACCCTAAAACATTGCACAATTCTTTCACCCGCCTACCTCACTCTTGCCCGTTCCATCCAGTCCCGTCTGTGTACCAAATGCTCCTAATTACAGTTGCATATTATTAGGGATTTGTTTGAGCTTAATCGAGCCAAGCCTTGCTCAGCTTGATGCTCAGGTCGGGCTTGGTAGGCTAAGGCTTGGCTTGTGGCTTGCCAAGCTTGGTTCATCAAAAGCTCAAGCTTCAATTCGGCTCATATGGGCCGAGTTTCTATGACTCATTTAGGCTGGTATATGCATAAGTTCAGGCTAGTATAAGCTTGTATAGGGATCAATTGACAAGTAAATCTAAATCAGACCGAAAACCTTCCTCTTTCCCCAAGATCTCAAACATCCCAAAGAATCCATTGGGTTTAGAGAGAATTAAAGCCTTCAAGCAAGATTATAATTAATTAAATATACTCCATCCGTCCTAAAGAAGTGTCCTGTGTCCAAATTTCTATTCAGGTTTGCCTCAAAATAAGTTTCCGCTTTCATAATTAGATAGTTATAATTTACTAAATTTCCAGTTCGACCCTTAATTATGACGCATGAAAGAGTTGATGAGGTGGAGCCGGAGTGTGCTGGATAGCGAGTCGGTGAAGGTTAAATAAGACTTTATGTTAAGCAAGCAGAGTAGTCAAGCCAAAGAATTCACTAGTGGAATAATATTATATATTTCTAAGTTTTTGTCCTTTTTATCAAGGGTAAGATTGTCATTCGGTTAACTAAAAGTATAATAATTATACATTTCTAAAACTGTCTGCTTTACTATTATGGACATTTATTTTGTGACAGAAGGAGTATATAATTCTACTAAGCGGGCTTGTATACGCTCGTGTAAGTTCACATAGGTTTCATAGGCTCGGTTCAGTAGAGGTCAAGTCTGCATACATTCCACCCTAGACCTTACCCCTTGGTGGGATATATTGGGCTCGTTTGGTTTGGTAATAAATGATAAGCATGTTTTTTTTTTAAATTGGTTAACCTGATGCTCAATCTCTAGAGCATGAATTTATAACCAATCTTATTCCACTTGAGAGCTTTCTTGCAAAATTCTTTCAAGTATTCTAAAAGGAACGAGAACGCTTTCTTTCGACCAATTTCAAGTTCCAAATGGATTTTAAATTTCGTATCCTTGAAACGAGTTCACGAATTCATTGACTAACCTCTTCATATGTTCCAATTCTAGGTTCTTATCACAGAGGGACCTCGAGGACTCTACAAAGGGTGAGACCCCAACAACACATGTTCACTTAGGGTGCATTTGGTACGTGGACGGGACTAGACGGGCGAGAGTGAGGTAGGTGGATAAAAGAATGTAGAATGTTCTAGGGTTTTAATTTGACATGGGTAGTTGGTAATTTATCAATCATATCGATTTTCCCTGATTTTTGTTCCGCCTATTCTTGTGGGACAGAAAAATGCAATTTTATCCACTCATTTCTGACTTGTCCCAGTCTAATGTCGTGCCAAACGTAGGATAACAAGTTTTTGTACTACCAAAATAGGTGTACAAAAAACGAGGGATATGAGACAAGATTGGTAAATTACTAAACTACCCATATCAAATTAAAACCTTAAAACCTTCCATAATTCTTTTTATCTGCCTACCTCGCTCTTGCCCGTCCAATCCAATTTTGTCTATGTACCAAACGGCACTCTTACGCTCTAATATATCACTCAATAGACATCTTACGTTATTTCAAACCTATTATCCGCTAAACAAGCGTTTGACTTCAAAATCATTGCAGCGGATTCGCGATTTTTGCACGATTAGGTCCACAAACTACAATCACATTCATACTGTGTGAGAAAATGCGCGAACTCGCTGGATTGAAAGCCATCTAGTCTCTAAAATCTATGGTAACATCTTGCTCTTGCCTGCATATTTATTTGCATAGTTCAAGTAGAATTCTTCATTCATGATCACCCGAAAATCTTCTTTCGGTAATAAATTTCTTCGTTTTTAGACAAAAATGTTAGCGTATCGAAGGCCGTTTCTCGATAATTTGAAACTAAAGGCCAAGTTCTATTCATCCGCTCGTACCCCCATTTGATGAAATTTTGTTATTTTTGCGTAGACTTTGTTTCGCGTTTTACATGATCAAATGTTGTTGTATTTGACTTTTGGCGCGGTTTGAAGGTTAACCGTTTGCGATTATGGTTTTTTTCGGGTTTTATATTGAAAACAAAATGCTTCTTTATCTTGATTTGTTTTGTGGTTAAAACATAACGATTTTAACGTTGATGAACCAAAAGTATTTAAAGGAAGACTGGGGATGTGAACTACGTTTCGGGTGAGGAGCAGGGGTGTTAATGAATCGAGCTTTTAACGAGCTACTCGAGCTCGGGCTTTACAATTGTCGAGTTCGAGTCTATCTCGAACACACACTAAAACTTATTTAACTTAACAAGTAGAGCTCCATAACATCAATTATTCGACGAGCTCAACTCGGTTCATTCAAAAGCTCGATTAAATGTTTCGGCTCGAGTCAAGTGAGCCGAGTCATTTGAGCATACGAGCTGAACATGTTCATAAATCATATAATCAAGGTATACAGATTATTGAGATTAAGCCAATAAGTGAACTAATCGATCTTGAGTATGAGCCGTAAACGAGTATCGACCTCGAACATTGAAAAAATATTCGAGCTGAGCTTGAATAACCTACAACTCGACTCGATTCAGCTTGTTCTAAGTTGAGGGGATGGTGTCTGCCAACATTAAGTGGGTAAACCAGAATAAAGTTGAAAATAAGTAACCATAAGCGTGGTGTCTGATTGGTTTGAGCTTGATTCCAAAGGTCAGAAGTATCAGGAAATCTCAGGTTCAAATCCAAGTAGGAATAAAAATTCTCTTGTGACCACGGAGGTTCAAATGTGGTGACTCTGAGATATCTGCAAAGCAGGTGGTCGTCCTGGAATTAGTCGGCTCGCATAGTGGGTTGGATATCCAGGTTAATCAAAAAAAAGTTGAAAATAACACTTTTCATTTCTATAATTTTGAAATTATAAGATAGTCATTGTGGTTGTAAAAACGTCCGGATTTTGTCTCTTCTTTTAACGATTGTTAAAAAATTCCATTAATTTAGAGGCATTTTATCAATCTTTACTCTTTTATCTAATCAAAATTGATTTTATGATTTTGGTCTATATCGTTTTTGACTGGGTAAAAGACAAAAAGATCGGTAAAAGAATGAAAATGTCTCTCATTTAACGGAATTTTTTAACGATCGTTGTAGGAATGAATCAGATCCAGACGTGGCTATCTTGTAATTTCATAACTGTAAAATAAAAAGTGTTATTTTTGATAAACCACTGGGATCAAATTTTTAATTTACTCAATATAATATAAATAGTGTTTTCCATTATCCCAACTACTATTTTAAGCAATAATAAAAGGGCGTGCCGCATTGATTATTTTCTTTGGAAATGGTCCAACGTTAAATCACTTTTTTCAAAATGGTAACCACGTGACACGCACGTGCTTAGTACGGTACCTTCTAGAAGAAATCTTTTTTTGTTTTTATAAATAAATATAAAATTCTTTTTGTTTTTTAAAAATAAATATAATATTTTATGTAATGTTTTAAGCTTTTACATAGTTTATAGTAAACTACAAATTTGGTCCCTTTGGTTGTAAAAAAATGACACTTTTTGTCCTTGAAGTTTTAAAATTACAAGATAACCATCGTAATTTACAAAACATACGGATTGAGTCCATAACTCTTGCGCTTATTAAAAAATTTCATTAAAACGAGAGGTAATTTCGTCTTACCCAATCAAAAATCACATGGACCGGAATCATAAATTAAATTATATGGGGTAGAAGTTTAAAAAAGAACGATAATAGGAAAGAAAAAAAATACTCTATTTTTTGAAGTATATAATATTTATATACGATAAATGGAACAAATAAACTTACACACATTTCTCACCTATGATGAGATTTGAACCTCTGACCTTCTAGGAGGCCAAATACCCTTTGGTAAATACCCCTCATTTAATGGATATTTTTAACGGCCGTTAGATAGAGGGATCAAATCAAGATGTTTTTTTCAAATCACGATAGTTATCTTGTAATTTTGAAACTATAAAGACGAAAAAAGTCATTTTTGACAAACCACATGGTCCAAATTTACAATTCACTCTATATTTTATGTTGGTTTAATTAAAAAAAATTGATTTTCCAAAATATTTTATTATATAATTAAATGTCCCATTAATTGTATTTTATTAAACTTTTGTAATAAAAAAATAAAGTATTTAATAAATCCAAATCTGGGTTAGGTTGATATTGTATAATAATATGTATTATTTACATCTAATTGCTTCTTTCACATTAAAAACATGTTTAAATGAGATAACCTCTATTAGTAATTCACACTTGTGTTATTATTAAATGATGCACAAAACGACGACGTTATTACCTTTTTGATAAATAATTTTTCTAAGATTTTGTACATGAAATACAAGAAAAATGAAACAAATTTATCAGATTTTATTTTAAAACGGTTTTTCTTTTAAATTAATAAAACAAATAGGAACCAAAATGGTGAGAAAAATCCAAATACTTTATTTGGAAATGTCATGTATTTCCTAGTAATGGATTCAGGATTTTTGTCGAACAGTTGCACCTTTAGGCAGTGTTTGGTACGCAGACTGGATGGGACAAGACGGGACGGTACGGGATAGGACATGACGGGACGGGACAGGACTAATTGTATGTCCTATGTTTGGTACGACTAAGACAAGACAGGACAAAACTATTAAAATGACCATATTACCCCTAAATGTTGTTTAATGTTATTTTATATCATATAATGATTGTAAAATGACAACAAATCAATCAAAATATTGTCATTTTAACTTTAGTCCCATGTTGTTCCACCTTTTTTGGTGGAACAAGAAATATCAAGATTTGTCCCACTAAAATTAAAAATAGTTCCACCTTGTCCCATGTTTTTTTTGTCCATGGCATGCCAAACATGAGACTATTTTTTTGTCTCGTCCTGTCCCATGTAGTCTGCATACCAAACGCATTCTTAAGGTAGATCAAAGGTCAAAAAGTCGTTCAATGTGTCATTGGCTGAATTCTAGAATTTTGAGGGATTTTTTATTATGTTGATTTTGAGATTTTTTTTGGTTTTTTTTGTTGGTTTCGAGGGTTTTTTTTGGGTTTTTTGATTAATGTTTCTTATCTATACTATATTATAAAGCATTTGACAAAAACTCTTAAAAACCATTTTTTATGCGTAAAGTACTGTTTATTAAAGCATATTACTTAAAACTCAAGATTGCAATTAGATTGTGCGTAAGTACAACTTATTAAAGCTCCATATCTGAATT